CTCAAGGTCTAGACAGCAGCCGGAAAATTTACGTTAGTCAGCACACAAAACTCTATCCGTGTTCAAAAATACAGCTTTATAACATTTTTTTACGGTAAAAACCTTGGTTTCCTGGGCTATACGGACCGTGGAAGTGTGGGCCAGGGGGCTATCAAAAATAACCTGGCCATTTACGTACGTGCGTACGTCTGTCCGTACGTCAGTTTTCGAAATACAGTTTCTGCGCTAAAACAGCACGCAATTGTGACAACCAACACATATTTGGAAATACGGTACTCTGAAGAAAACAATTATGAAGAGCTGCTGCGCAAAAAGTTATATGACACTTTAGTCAACAACAAACAAGAAAATGTTCACTTGCGACTCGGTACATTTCATGGCATTGCATTTGAATGTAGATATCTTCGCGGTTCAAGACAAAACCATAAATTTACTCGTAATTGTACATGCGGTGGAACATATCAATGAACATAGTATATTAAAGAACTGTCACGTTATTTTTCGTCGATGCGATCGCGATGCGATCGCCCCCCCCCCCCCCAATCGTCTTCAGTGAGCCGCCTGAAATGTAGGCAATTTGTGCTACAAAACCCCTGTATCTAGGCAACCCACCCTGACGGTCGGGGTAGACAAATTGTAGACAAAAAAGTAGACAAAATTTGAGACAGGAAGTAGTCGACTAGTAGACAAATATTAGATGTCTACTATGTGTCCAGTAGTCTCAACTTTAGACACGAGTAGACATGTCCAGAATGTGTCTAATAACCGTCGCGTAAATGTCTAGAAGTAGTCTACTCTTTGTCTAGAAGCTGTCTACATATAAGCTTTCCGGCTTGCCTATTGAAAGTCTACATGTGCACTGTAGACATAAAGTAACGTCAGATAGTGTACCTATCAGTACTCGTAGGTAACTACCCTTCCATTCGCACTTTAGGCAAGCTCCTACTGGGAGTTGACCCCGCAACCTTAGGGCTCGAGAGCGCGAACGCTACCCCTCACCCACGGATGCTTCCGTAGAGGAGCTATGTGGCATAACGATCTGACTATACGCGGTGCCTAGAATGATTCTGGTCTATGATTTCTATGCCTAGTCTCTGTCATCGCGGTCTACTCCAGAAGCATATGTGTCTTATCGTTCGAGTTGGCGCCTGCATATTGTCTACTATTTGTCTACATGCGCATGAGCTACTTGTTGTCTAGGTTTTGTCTAAAGGGACATTCCAGAACCAGTCTATAGACTAAATGTAGACAACTGATAGGCAGGGTAGACGTAATGTAAACATAAAATAGTTGTTGCACTAGCAGGCAAAGTATAAGTCATATGTAGGCATCTGGTAGAAAACATACTGGACGCAAAATAGACACACACTGGACTTCAAGACAGATAGACAATCGTGACTAGTTGTATAGACAGACTCTAGACTTGAGGGGCTCGGCTGTCTTGGACGTAGAGTAGCAAGGAAGTAGGTGTCGCGCTGGTAGACAATCAGTAGACAAATAGTAGACATCAACAAGACGCAAGTACAGACTAGAAGTAGACACAAACTGGACTTTAAGACAGGTAGACAGTAGTGACGAATTGTAGACAGACTCTAGACTTGAGGGGCTCGGCTGTCTTAGACGTAGAGTAGACAGGGAGTAAGTGTCGCACTGATAGGCAATCAGTAGTCAAATAGTAGACATCACCAAGACGCAAGGATAGACTAGAAGTAGACTACATGCAGACATCAGCTTAAAAGTGGACTAGTGAAAACGATACTAGACAGTTTCTAGACCTCGTAGTAGACAAATGTGATCAGAAAGTAGACAAATACTAGTTTACTCTGTCTACAATGTGTCTGAAATACGTCTAAATGCGTCTAGAACTTGTCTACCCCGACCGTCAGGGCCACTGTGCATCGCCCCCCCTGTCGCTCCCTCCTTATACCGCGCCTGGTTAAAAGCTTCTTTAACCTCGAAAAAAATCAAAATATGCCCGTCCGTCACGTCCCCTGCTTAGCGCATACTTCACCTTCAAACTTTATTTTCATAAGCTTCCGGTCCCATTTCATTATTTTTGTAAATACAATCGGATTCCTTGTTCTTTTTCCTTCAAACAGACATATGCCGATCATTTCGACGATATTTTGAACAGAAGATATAAGCAAGGAAGGAACTGCGCGCAGCGTTTGCACGCCTCGCCTGCTCCAGGCGGCGCGGCCGAGACATGGTGTCTGCCCGGGATTCAACATCGTTTCGCCGGCCAAATATACGTAGATTTAACTCAAAATTTCATAAGTGTACGCACACCCGCGGGCAACAATTTTTCCCAAAGGCCTCCCCCAAGGCTTAACCTTAAAAAAAGGTTCGTTGCTTTAATTGAGACCAGCACCCCGCTTCTACAGTGGTACTACTGTCATGTCTGTGGGTGTTGTGTGTTCTGAGA